AAAATAAAATAAAATAAAAATATTTGAATCCTGGAAATGAAGTGTGTGGCAGGCTGGTCTAGTATATAGAAGAAGAACATTTGGCCCTTTCCATGTGACTATAGCTCTTGATGTTCTTCCACACTGTTTGTCATGTCTCAGCCACTATCTTTCCACTAACTTTCCTTCTTCCTGTTTTCTTTCCCCTTTTAGCTCTCCTTCCTCTTCCTCCAGGAGACTTTGTTCCATTGCTTTTGAGGTATATTTCTAGAATTTTTAAATGACAAAAATCGAAGGGTTCTGGCTCTGTGTTTCACTTTGCTATAATTTGGCTTTCAAAGTAATATTTAGTCAAAGTAGGGTTTCTTTCTTTCTTTTTTTCTTTTTTAAGATTTTATTTATTTGAGAGAGACAGACAGAGATAGTAAGAGAGAGCGCAAGCAGGGAGGAGAGGGAGAAGCAGGCTCCTGGGCAGGGAGCCTGCCGTGGGACTCCATCCCAGGACCCTGGGATCATGACCTGAGCCGAAGGCAGACGTTTAACCAGTTGAGCCACCAGGTGCCCTATTTCTAATTTGTGTAGCATCTGAGTTGTTTTTCTGTAGCCTTTCTTTTGGCACTTTGTTCTCTTATTCCTCCCTCCCTCCCTTCCTATCTTCTTTTCTTCTGCCAGTACTTATTTACAGACTGGTGTGCTATGTGCTGGGCTCTTAGGTTTTAGAGGTAACAGCTGTGGGCAAGAGAGACAAAAATAACTCCTTTTGTGGTTGTGCAGAGTCAGGAGGAAGAGATGAGATGAACAAGGAAATTTTATAGTTGATGACTAAGGATGAGAGATTTGCTGGGAAGACATTTGAAGCTTTGGGTGAAGATGAGCTTTTTTTAGATTATGGTGGCTATAGTTCAGCTTTTTTTTTTTTTAGATTTTATTTTTCAGTAATCTCTACACCCAAGGTGGGACTTGCACTTCAACCCTGAGATCAAGAGTCGCATCCTCTACCGACTGAGCCTGTGATGGCAGGAGTTTAATTCCCCTGGATACATATATCCTTTACTTAGAGATAACAAAGGATCGGGGTATTCTGCTGGCTGTTGCTTCATGTCATACTGTCTGACATTCTAGAAAAATGTAGAATGTATTTTGCTTGTATTTCATTTGAAAGCATGACTCTGAGATGCCACCATTTACCACTTATTTTTGTTTTAGGAGTTCATGAGTTTGGGTTTCCTTTGCCTTGGCTCTGTTTATTCGATTTTGTCTTTTTAGTAAGGTTCTTTCCAATCTTTGTCTTTAGGTACAAGTTCTTTACCAACAGGCAGTCATTGCCCTAACTTCCTTGCATGTAATTCCAGGGAAGATGAGCTGAAGGTAGTTGTTGACTTCTTGGAATTTATTTATCTAATTAATTGAAAATACATTTAAAAATTTTTACTTTTTATGAAATTTTAAATATAACAGAAATGTAGAGAGAATAGTCTCATTACTACCGTAATCACATGGTTGTGGTGTAATTAATATAATGGTTTGATTACTAATAATATTCGCCTAGATTTCCCAGTTGTTAACATCTTATCCCATACTTGCTTCAGCTTTTTTTTTCTGAAATATTTTAAAGAAGGTTGTAAATATCATATTTTACTCCTGAATACTGATTATGCGTCTTAAGAAAAAAGACATTTGCTTACATGACCACGGTACCGTTATTAACCAACAAAATCAACGGTATCTTACTATCAGCTATGTTAAGCCATATTCATTCACATTTTCCCAGTTGTCTCCAAAATGTCTGCTGTAGCTCAGTTGTTACAGGATCCAGTCAAGGGCATGAGTAGCACTTGATTATTATCTCTTTGAAGACTCTTAATATAGGAATTATTTCCTACCTCCTGCCTCTCCCAAAACCTTCTTGCTTCGCCCACTCCCCTGCCCTCCACACACAATGACATTGACTCGTTGAAAAGACTGGGCCAGTTGCCCTGTAAAATATTCTGCCTTCTGGATTTGTCTGAATGAGTCAGGAATTCTGTAGTGAGTTGGGATGTAGGCAGGGTCAATTTGGGAAACCCTATGGTGATTGAAGAGGTACTAATGTGGTGTTGATAGAAAGTAAACTTTCCCATTTGCCAAGCCCACTGAGGACTTTTGGAGGAGTGGGGAGAGAGGGTCTAAGAAGACTAATAAATTATAGATGCTTTCCCCTTTTCCTCTCCCACGTTAATCTCTCTTTTGCTTTGTGATTTCACAATACCAGGGCCATATATTTTAGGGTTCTAACTTAACTAAAACTAAAACTAAATATTTGACTTGGTGGGGAACATGAAGTACCGTTAAGCATGGCATTCATATCAGGCTTAGCCACTTACCTGACTTAAAACTTAAATATTAAATCTTAAAACTAAATATTTGACTTGGTAGGGAACATGAAGTACCGTTAAGCATGGCATTCATATCAGGCTTAGCCACTTACCTGACTTGAGCTTCAGTTTGCTCATCTTACTAAAGAGAAAACTACCTCTTCTCCCATATTTTCATTTATTTGCTATTTGGAATAAATGAGGATAATGAGATAAAGTGCCCTGTAAGGGGTTGGCACAGTGTAGGACCTCAACAAATGGTAGTAGCTGTGGTTGTAATTGTTAATAATGATATTTGTGTTTTAGGTTGGAACTCAATTTATACGTGGTGTGTCTGGAGGAGAAAGAAAAAGGACTAGTATTGGAATGGAGCTTATTACCGATCCAGCCATCTTGTTCCTGGATGAGCCCACAACTGGCTTAGACTCAAGCACGGCAAACGCTGTTCTTTTGCTCCTGAAGAGGTAAATGCGATGGGAACATTACTCTTTCATTCATCTGGTATCTGATCACCTGCTGTATACCAGGATTATTCTCAGTGCAGGGGGGAGTTCAAGAGTAAGCACAACAAAAATTTCTTCCTTCTTTGTTGGAGGGAAATAGTCAACCGACAAATATAAGTGTTTCAAGAAAAGTGAGGCAGGGTAAAGGTGTAGCAAAAGATGGCTGTGGTGGGGGTAGGGGTGCTCTATTATATAGCAGGATGGTCAGGGAAGACCTCAATGATGTGACATGTGAGCTGGGAGCAAGTGAGTGAGACCTGGATCTCTGGGGGAAGAGAGTCCTAGCTGGAGGGAAGAGCCAGTGGGTCCTAAGGCAGAGCATGCCTGATGTGTTTGGAAACATCAAAAAGGCCAGAAGGACTGGACCCCAGTGAACTAAGGGGAATGGAGATTGCTTACTGATTAGTTTGCTGGGGCTGCCATAACGTAGTACCACAGACTGGGTGACTTTAACAATAGAAGTTCAGTTTTTCACATTCTTGCGGGCTAGAAGTCTAAGATAAGAGCATCAGCAGGATGATTTCTTCTGAGGTCTCTCTCCTTGGCCTGCAGGTAGCTGTCTTCAGTATGTGTCTTTATTTCATTTTCCCTCGGTGCATCTGGGTCCTCATCTCCTCTTCTTATAAGGACACTGGTCCTTATTAGATTAAGGCCCACTCATATGACCTTATTTAACCATAATTACCTCTTTAAAGACCCTATCCCCAAATACAGGTATATTCTGAGGTACTAGGGGTTAGGACTTCAACATGAATTTGGGGAGGACACAGTTCAGTCCATAACAATTAGAATAGGACATGAGATTGAATTGAGTGGGTAGCAGATTACACAGGCTTTGTAGGCCACTGTAAGAACTATGGCTTTTATTGTCTCTAGGTGACATGGGAACTTTTAGAGAGTTCTAGAACAGAGGACTGTCAGCTGTGTAGAGAAAAAACTATAACTGGGCAAGGTGAGTACAAGGAAACCAGTCAGAAGGCTATTTGTATTAGTTCAGTTGAGATATGATGCTGGCTTTGAGTAGGATGGTAGTGGTGAGGTGGTGAGAAGTCGTGGATTCTGGATCTATTTTGAACATAGAACCAACAGGATTAGATTAGTTCATGAACTGGACGCGGTGTGTGGTTATTGAGAGAACAACTTTCTAAAATTTAGGGCCTGAGAAATGGAAGAATGGAGAAAAGAGTTGCATTTACTTTTTTTT